AGAGTGGGATTTGGGTACCTCAGAGGTTTCCCTATGAATGAGACAGTAGATTTCTTCTTTCTGGCCCAAAGGGAAAAATAAGTTTAAAGCAAGGAAGTAATAGGAATCTAGATTTAGACTCAAATTGAATAATATATTTCTATCAGTTAAAAAGATAGCCAAAGTAAGAAAAACTTTTGAAGAAAAAAGAAAAAAGCTGGAGGAAACTCTTCTCCCTCCTCTGTGTGAGCCCAATTTCCTTGAGCCTAAGTTACCTTGTCTGACAGGAGTAGGTGAGTAGACTCCAATAAGATGCAGACTAGGGGAGCAGGGTTGTATGATGGCCCCAGGAGGCAAACCTCAGTTTAGGGTAATCCTGCTGACTTATTGTAATTTCTCTTGTCTCAGAAGGTTCCTCATCTACAAAGTGGGGTTAATATGTGTAAAGCCCTGAGAACTGTACCTGTTGATAAAGTTTGCCATCATCATCACCATCTCTTTTCATGTATGAAAGTGACTATCACAGTATCTAGTACATTATAGGTGTTCAAAGAATGTGTCCCCTTTTTCTCCTTCCTTAGTCCCTCTTTCTTCAGGATGTCTCTGGGAGACCAGCCTCTCCTAATCTCCTGCCTTCTGGAGAATGTTTCCAAATAGCACAACATGGATTTACAGAGATTCAAAGGCAGCTTCCTGCATCCTTCTATCTAAATACCTTTTTGGTAAAGAGGCTGAATAAGAGAAAGGCAAGCCCCTACTTTTAGGAGTTTCCCATTCTTTGCTAAGTATTACTAAGTGTGTACTTCATTTACTTAGTGTTTTTACCTCCACTGACTCATTCTCTCACTGGTTCATGATGTGGCAGGCAGAGAGCATCAATGTGAAAACTGAGGCACAGAGTGTCATTAACTTACCCAGGGCCACTAACACCCAGTGGGCAAGCCATGGTTCGAATGCAAGGCTTTCTCACTCTGCAGCAGTTGCCTCAGGTATTCCCAGCCACTTGCCTTTGGCTGCGCACCTCCTTCCTCCCTGGGATTTTGCTCCAGGAAGCATGGGAGAGGCACTCAGCTAGGTGCCCAAGCTGGAAGCCAAATCCTTGCAGCATTAGAGAGGACCAAGGCAGAGAGAGGAGCCTGGAGCCCTGGGTGTCTCCACATGAGCCTGAGCCCTTAGAGCTGGAGACCTCACCTGGTCAAGCCCTGTTTTCAGGTGGCTCAGGAGGGCGAGGTCCAGCATCAGGCACCCCTGTTAACAGCCCAGCGCCCCTACCAGCATTGGCCAACAGAACTTTCTTTGATAGTCGTGTACCTGTGCTATCCAATACACTAGTCACTATAACATGTGGCTGATAGGACTGAGCGATCGTGATTTTTGCGTCATAGCCCAGTCAGGGAGCTTGTGGAAGTTGTACAGTTGGCAAGTAAGGCCATGGGGACTTGAGCCCATCTTGTCTGCCACAAAGCCAAGCCCTTCACCAGCACACTGGCCTCTTGTCCCACTCCTCTAGGAAAGCCTGTGTACCCTTCTGAACCCAGACAGGTGATTGGGTCATGTCTGCCTGTGCACAGGGGCCTCACTTCCTGCCCTACTCCACCTGGGCCCAACATCTAGAAGCCACCTGTGTTATTCTACTGATAGCAGTGTTTGCCCTTCCAAAGCCAGGACCATAAAAGGCAGCTTTCAAAGTCACTGCCGCAGAAATGTCAACACGAAGGGGAGGCCAGCCTTGGTTTCTGAGGTGGAATGTCACCTCTGGGCTGCCTCAAAGGCTGTTGGGTGTCCAGGAGCCTGAAGTCTAGACTTGCTTCTACCACAAACACACTGTGCTATCTTTGGCATATTTCTTACCTTCTCTGGGCCTTGTTTTTATCATCAACGTAAGGAGAGGGTTGGACTAAACTTGAAGGCCTTAAAAGGTTCTTCTGTGCCTAAAATGTTCAGTGTCCTCTGCTGTGGATCTGGGGCAACACCCAGACTCCCCTATAATGACTGTGAAATGCTTTATGCAGCAATCTTCAAAACAACATCACCCCCAACCACGGACTTGGATTTTTTTTCAAAACCTCCAACAATATCACCATTGAAGCAGTAAAGCTATTCATTAATATCTCATAAAAAGTGATTTTGTGATTTTCTTAATGTATGAAAAACGTCCCCAACCCCCAGCACTGGGCTCAGAGCCCCAGAATATAAAACCACAGGCAGACCACTAGGATTCTACAGAGCTCAGGTGTTTGGACAAATTGCCCACACTTGAGAACACAGGGCAATTTTCTCAAGTTTTAAAATGTTTTCTCCCCTCCTCCCCCCCTTTTTCTGGGGTTTCGCCCTTGCTTGTAACTTAAACCACAAATAACGCTTTAAGCCTCTGGCTGTGAGGAGTGGAATAGTGGCTGCCAAGAACAGCATGGTTCACGTGGGCCCTTTTTCTGCCACTCAGGAAAACTCTGCCGAGGACAGCAAAACCTGCATTTCTCTCTTTCTTCTCACGGGTACAAAGATACCTTTTTTTTTTTTTTTTTAATAGGCAAGTGCAAGGGTAGATTGGTATTGATTTCTGGTGGGCAGATAGGAATTGGCCATTTGAGGTGAATCAAAACCCAGCCATGGCAGCCCCAAATCTTGCACAGATGCCAGACAAACCCCCTAACACTGACTTCTGTTTAAGTCCTTTATCCAGAATTTGGTACATGTAGGTGTTCACTCTCTGTTTGTGGTTGAGTGGATGGCCTTGTACCTTTTTTCTTACTCTCAGTTCTCAGATGAGCATTCATACCCTCATTTTGTAGCTGAGGGAACCTAGACTCTGCCAGGCAAGCCCAACTCATTTGGGTCATTCATGGGCTGGTGTGTAAATCCGGGCTGGCACCAGCATGGACTCCTACACCCAAGCTCTTTCAGTGCCCATGCTCAGTCACACAGGCCAAAGAAACATTGTGTTCTCAGCTGATGGATGAAGCCCGCCCGGGCATGAGAGACAATGCTTGTAGAATGAGACTTCTCTTCGCTGTAGCTTTCTCCCTCAACTTCCCAAAGTATCTCTCTGAGGATGATGCTTCCAACAGAAATGCTAGGTCACACCTCTTTCCAGCTGCCTGCTGGACATCACTGCCCGGATCTGTGCTCAGTCAGTTCTATAGATAGTGCATGGGCCATAGTTGGTGCTTACTGTTGGCTCAGTGATTAAGTCAATGATGGTCCACAGATACTATCCAAATCGGAGCTCACCTTATCCACTATTGACTCTCCAGTGTCAAGATCGAGCATGGAAAACAGTTGTTCAATGAATGAGTAAATAACTGAAGGAATACATTTTCCTTTCCTCCCCCACATCCCCTTCCCCCCCTTTCCCCTTACCCTGCATACAGTTTATCTTCTGAACTGTCTACTTCTGCTAAAGATACCACGATCTCTCTCCATTCTTTCAGGCCTATAGCTTGGGACTTCCCCTTGGACACCCCTTCACTTACATGACTCATCAAATTGGTGATCATATTCTTTCAGTTCTGCCTCTGACTCCTCTCCCTTGCCTGTCCCCTCCTTTCCAAATTGGAACTCACAAACTTCTTGCCTTTATTATTTAAAGCTGTCACAAGAATCAAAATCCTGAATTAAATTTGCTTAAGCAAAAAAATGAGATTTAAGTTAGAAGAATATAGGGACAACCACAAAATTGAAGGTGAAACCAAATTACCAATCTCCAGGAAGGGCCCAGTTGGCTGGAACAGGGGTCTTTCTCTTCCACCTCCCTTTTCTGAGTCAGGTGATGTACTGGCTTCATTCTCTTTCATCTGTTTCCTCCATATCATAGGGGCATGGATGCCTCTAGACTTACATCTTTCTTTCCTGGGCAGTCACTTTGTAAAGTCAGGAACTTTATTCATTTCTTCTTTGTGGCTTTCCCCACAGTACCTAGCATAGGGTCTGGGACTACAGAGTGCTCAGTTGTGCAATCTCTAGAGGGCTCCTAGAGTTGGAGGAAGTGGACATGGTCTCTTGAGGCAGAAGATGAAGTGATTAATCATGTAAGCTTTAAGGCCAGACTACATGGGTTTGAATTGTGGACCTTTCACTTACCAGTATGCCCTAAGAAAGTTATTTCAAAGTGCCTCAATGTGCTCATCTATAAATTGAGAACAATAATTAAGCTTAGATCATTAGGTAGTTATGAAGAACTAGGGGCCCAGTGCATGAATTTGTGTACCTTTAAAGGAACTATGAGCCATGGTGGGCACAGGAACGGGTCTTAGTCCATCCTCAGCATCCCTGCCTAGCCCTTCTTGCCATGGCCTCTGGTCCCCTGTCTGCTGGCAGCCCTGCTCCCCTGCTGCTGCTTCCATGTGCTGATGATGCCAGTCCCACTCGTACCCACTTATGGCGAGGAGTGATTGGGGCTGGCGCCAGCAGTGGGTATGAGAGGGGCTAGTGCCATCACTATGTGAGAGTGGCAGATGCTGCCCCGATTGCCCCTCAGGAACAGGAAGAGGTGGAGAAGCCCTCAGGGGTGATCAGGCCAGCAACCACTGCTCGCATCCACTGATGGTGCTGAGCAATAGTGGCCAGTGCCAGGTGTCAGCAACAGGTGGCAGTGCCAGGTGGGATAGCAGCTGGGGAGCAAAGAATGTTCAGTAACCACCAGAGCCTCACCCTGATGACAGCAACTGGCACTCCACCTTGGGTGGTGTCACCCCCCTCATCTGTTCCACATCCCACAGCAGCCTACGCCTGTCATGTTCCATGTGTGTCCCCTGGTGGTCAGCGCATGTCATAGCAACCAGTTGTTCAGTTGTTCTGCTGGTTGGTCTATTTGCATATTAGGGTTTTGTATATATATTATAGATGCGTTAACAAATATAGGGTTCTTAGAAAGGTACCTGGCATAGAGTGAACACTTATTAAAATTTGGCTGCCATAAAAATGATGAAGAAGATGCTGTTGCTGATGGAGTTTGATGTTAATGTTGGTGATGATGATCTGTCTTCTGGACTTAGCCCTGTCTTGAATGGTTTTACAGGCCTGTGTGGAGAAGGCACAGGCTTCCGACTTTGGAGAACTGAGCTCAAGTCTTTTTTCTGCCAGCTGAGTGAACTTCACCAAGCTGATTCCCCTTCTCTGAGATTTGTTCTTCATTCATAAAGTGAGTGTGACCTCAATGACTGGTAAGGAAGTTATGAACTGGGGAATGTTGGAGGAGGGCAAGTTTTGGAACACCATGCTTCTGGTCAAGCCTCTTCCACCAGGAAGTCTTCTGTGACCCCTACGCCTATACTGGGCTAAGCAGCCACAACCCTCTGTGCTTCCTCAAGCCATGAACTCATTCACAAATACTTCCTAAGTGAGCACCTACTATGTGCTGAGAGTATGTTTAATGGGGCAAAGCCTGAACTAGTAGTGGTGGCAACCAGTGAAGGCTAACAGGCGAAGAGGCTGGACACACAGGATGGGACCTTCTGGTATCTTGCCTTTTTAGAGTTTGTACTCTGTGGGAATACAGAGTGCAAATAATTAAATCACAATATGACTTCAGGTTGGTAAGTGCTAGAGGACTTGGGGTGCCTCCCTAACTGCAGCCTGTCAATCCATGGCACACTGTGTTGTCCTTCCCTGTCTATGTAACCTTCTCTTCCTCTGCTGTGAGCTCCTGGAGGCCAGGGCCCCCTTCCACCTGGGTCTGTAGCTCAGGTAGCCAGCACACTCCCTGAGTATTATAGGAACTCCCTGCTCATTATTCTGCCCTATGGTGGAACCCAATGATCACTGTGACACCTGGCATTTTATAATCACAATTTTTCCCTCATTAAATAATTGACCTGATCAGTCTGTTCCCAGGGAGCCAAGGTGAGACAGTAGCCTGGCAGCTGGGCAAGTTCTAGAGAACTGCTTGTCCATCTGCGAGCCAACAACACAGTCACTGGAAGTCAACAAGGGAAATGGAAAGGGAGAGACCCAGGCTCCGCAGGGCGCACGCCCTGGGACCTGCGCCAGTGTGAACAAGGCTTTCCGGGTGAGGATTTCCCCTCCTGGAATGGGAATAGCAGCTGAGGGTGAGGAAAGATAGGGAACTGCCTGTGCTTTCTAAAGGGCTTCCTTCCATAGCGTCTTATTTATTTAAGCGTCATAACAACTCTTGGTATGTGCTCATTTGCGAATGTACACACACACACACACACACACACACACACACACACACTCTTTCTCTGAGTCACAGATGAAGAAAATAAAGCCACATAGGCTAAAGGACTTGCCTAAATCCACCCATCTACCAAGAGACAGAGGCAGGTGAGGAGGAGGCTTGAGAATGAGCACATCCCTGGGAATGTGCTCAGGTCAGGGGTGAGTTAGAAGGAAGGATCAGGGATAAAGGTGGTTCCGTGGGACCAGAGAGTGGTTTCCCATGAGGTGTCCCTGTTCTCTCCTTTCTCCAGCCCAGCCTCCACGTCTTTGCTGCAATCAGCCCTTGATGAAGATGGGAAGGGACATGGCTGCTGGCATGATCTGTCCCATCCCATGTCTCCAGCCTCTTTGCCTTTAGCCTTTGCTGGGTGGCACCCCTATTTGTTCAGGCTTTGCCCCATTAAACACGCAGCTTCTGTTGTTTAGTGAGCAGGAGATGGGGAGAAAGGGAGTACAAGTTCCATACTACCTTCTCCTCAAGTGTCCCCTTCTAATTAAGGTTCAGGTAACACATTACATGGCACTAGAAAAAGTGAGAATGCAGGACATTGAGACAGTAGAGAAGGTGGTCAAAGCTTCCTCAACCAACCAGGAGTGCTTCCCTGCCCACCAGGTTAATTGGCCTCAGCCATGCCTCCTAGTTGTTAAGTTGTTGGCCAGTGTCTGGCACATCAGAGGCCACCAGGGCACATTTGTGGACTAAGAACCAGACACAGAGCACAGGAAGTCAGTCTCTCCCCCCTCTGCTGGGACTTCCCCCTTAGGAATATAGTAGACTCTCAGTTGGGTCAAAAGCACAGCTGTGTGGAAGTGCAGGAGGAGGAGGAGGGGGAAGAGGGTGGATATGAGGAAGAGGACGTGGAGGAAGTGGAGGAGGGGAAGGAAAAGGGCTGAGAGAGGAAGTGGGAAACAGGAGGCGGTGGAGAGGGGGAGGATGCATTGGTGGGAGTTTAGTGCCTCTGATATCAAACCCTGGACCTCTTTCAGTCTCTGGAAAAGTCCAGCCTGCCCACAGGACAGAGGGGGAAGGCACTTCCTCTGAGGAGCTTGGAGCCCTTGCAGGCTTCCCACATCTGGGAAAGCTTGGGTGGGGTCTGGGCTGCCTGGGTCCAGTTTCCTACCCAGCCTGCTAGTTTACCTGGGTCAGGTCCAGTTGCTCTGGGTCTGGATGATATTTCTCAAGAGCTAGTGGGGTGGGGTCCAGGTGTGCAGCCTGCCTGGGAAGCTAAAGAGCTGTGACTCAGAGAAGGGGCCTCTGCGGTCTGCCACCAGGCTCCTGAACCACAGCAGGACTGGCCAGCGGGATTGGAGAGAAGGAATAAATACTTAATTTTCTAGAGTGCATAGTTGGAGGAGAGTTTTGTGTAGACTTAAAGGTGAAAGAGCCCTGAGCTGTAAGAATAAGGAGAGCATTCCAGGTGGAGAACTTCCTTTGTGCCTAGGGAAATGATTACCAATGGTCCTATGACTTGCAGGCCCACTGTGTGCCAGGGCTTTCCCTTACTGTCCTTATTTAATACGCACTGTCACCCCCAATGAGTGGGGCCTAAGTATGCTCACCTAATGATCTGATCGAGGAGGATTAGACAGGCATGGAATGCAGAGCCAGCACCGTTCAAAACCTCCCCGCTCTCCAGCTGCAGAAAGGGAGGGTGGGGAGAATGAGCAACTTGTCACGGCTCAGAGTGTGGCACATGGTGAGAGTGGCAGGCAGGCCTGAGCCTCCCACCTGCCTGGTGCCTCTTCATCCGTCACTCCTGTGCTCTCCAGGCTCCCAGGCCTTTGACCAGAAGGCACAGAGAGAGAGTTTTCGTGGCTGCTCCAGAGAGATGCCCATTACAGGACTCCCAGCCCATTGCCCGCTGCCAGGACCATCTTCTCTGCTCATGGCAACATCCTGCTCTTCTCCAGTGCCAGGGCACAGCTGGCCTCCCAAGAGGCTCTCAGGGCTAGAATGACAGTGCACCATGTGCTGATTGATAGAGATGACAGGAAAGGAGCAGCCAGCAGGGAGGAAGGAAGGGCTGGCGGGAGTCCGGGCAGCGGGAGGAGCTGGTGGACAGTGTTTCCCTGTAGGGAGAGGGCAGGCGCAGGGGACCGGCTTCCTTGTAAACAGTGCAGCCAGCTCTAAAAATAGCCGTCCTAGACAGGGGACACTGAGCTCCTCTGGTCTCCTCCAGAGCCTTCCCAGGGTCTTCAGCCCCCTTCCTGAAAGGTCAAGGGGTTGGGAAGAAAGTCTTGTGAAGAGTAGGACTTCCTTAGCAAGGAAAGTATAACAATATTTTGTGTATGTGTGCAAAACAGGAGGAGGACACTCTGGGTTTTGTTTTTCTGAGTCCCTCCTCCTCATTAGTAATCAGAGGCCTGGGCCCAGCTCAGGGGTCAGTCCTGGAGCTTAATTCATAGCCTAGGGTCACGGACAGAGAAGGCCCTGGACGGGAGTCTCCAGCTGTTCCTCTTTATGAGGTGTGTGACTTATGACTCAACCTCAGTACCTCAGTTTCCACAATTATGAGAGGAAGTAATAGTAGTGTTTACTTCACTGGGGAGTGGACAGGATTAAATGAGATGCTATATAAAGCTCTTGTCATGGCGCCTGACACATTGTGAACACTCCAAAGATGCTTATTATGATGATTTATATGGGGAGATATACTATTTCCTGAATTTGAATTTAAGTCTTGGTTTAAAGGGAAATTTCATAGGTAGGTGAAGAGAGTGGGGTGAATAAGAAGAAGCAGAAAGAGTCTGAATCATAGAAAACTCAAATCTGTTATTTGACAAATAGGGAAACTGAGGCCCGGAAGGAAAAAGGAGTTGCCCCAGGCAGTACAGTGTTTTAGCAGCTACCTGTGGGTTCGAGACAAAATAGCAGTGTGACGAGACCATGAACACTCGCCACTCTAAGTGTGCCTCACTGAGGGTCAGGAGAATGAGGTCTGTTGTTGCTATAGCACTTTCAAGTTGGGAAAGCCCTTTGCAAGGGGGAACAGACCTCAGCAGATCCTGGCCAGAGGGCTGAGCTCTCTGAGGGGCCACTTGATGGACATATACAAGGACATAGCCCAACAGAACTCATTCTTGGGCGGGGTGTCTGGTGATGCATCCATTTACTGCACCCTTGAATCCAAGGACCATGGGGAAGAGGTTCAGGCTGGAAAGGCTCATGTTGGCCTGAAGAAGAGTCTTCAGACTCTGTGCTCTCTAGTCGGTGGGCACTAGTCAAGTGAGCACTTACAATGTGGCCAGCCTGGATTTAAAATATTTATTTATTTATTTTTTTAAAAAGGTAAACTGTCTCAATCAGTTTCTATTGATTCCATGTTGAAATGATGTTTTTAAATTCATTGGGTTATTTAATATATATCATTACAATTAGTGTCACCTGTTCCTTTATGTTTTTTTTTTTTTCCCCTGTGGCTTCTAGAAAATTTAGAATCATGCATGGCTTGCAGTATCTTTCAGTTGGGCAACGCTGTTCTGACCACTGCTTCTGTGCAATGATGAAGCAGGCTGTCCCGCTGGTAACCAGCCTCGCATCACTGGGGATGTTACAAAAGCCTTGTTAATGGAAGTCTTTAGTTAGGTGGATATACTCTATCAGCCCTCCAATTAGGATTCAACTGATTCCAGGCTGTCCTCTGAGGAGCACTTGTTCCTTAGAACAGTGTTTCCCAACCTTCTCTCATGATGAGAATCACCTGGTGGAGTTGTTAAAACACAGATTCCCGGATCCCAACTAAGAAGTGCTAAACTAGAATTTTTGGGAACATATAGGTAAAATTGTATACTTAACTAGTGCTCTAAGACAGATTTTATATACAGAGCACTAAGTTAGGTATGCAATTTTACCTATATGTTCTCAAAAATTCTAGTTTAGCACTTCTTAGTTGGGATCCGGGAATCTGTGTTTTAACAACTCCACCAGGTGATTCTCATCATGAGAGAAGGTTGGGAAACACT